CCAGTGTCAAAACAAGCATTTAGACTGGGCTATTAGAGAATTTCATCTCTTTTTCTTCCCTCCCCACAGCCATTTGAGGATGTTTCCATCCACGGCTAAATAGGGGATGTTTACAAGGTCCAAGCTATGCTGAAGCTGTCTAGAAACTAATGAGGAAGGAAGATTTTTATAATGCTCTCATGAAACATTTAATGAGCTCTGAAATAGTGCTGGCAGGCCTCAAAGGAGAAAGGCCCCGTTTAAAACTGAACTTTGCAGTTTACTAAATGGCAGCGTGCTGGAGCCCCAAGCACTATTTATTTTCAAAGACTATTTTTATCAGAAAATCCCCGACTCCTGCAATGCTCTTCTGCTCTAAAAGTCTTTCCCCCTCTGTTGCAGCTGCCATGAAATCAGTGGCACTTGCCAAGCAATGCGCTCCAAAGGCCCAAAATAACACATTAATACTTTTTTCTTAATGCAATGGAATTGGATTTTGCCTCAAATATAGTTAGCTCTACTCCTCACCTCCAGAGGTCATAACCATTGAAACCAGAACATGCCATTCTGGGAAGGGCTTTTTTGAGGGATGGTGAGGGTGCAAATCTCCTGGCTTTATCAGTTAATGCAGCTCACTCTTTATTAYATTCACATTCCCCCTTCTCAACTCCCATGAAATGCCCACAGCTGTGTTCTCTCAATCTTCAGCCTGAAAGACACAAAAAAGCAGCCTGCAAGACTACAGCTTTTCAAAAGTCACTCCCACACGTTTAAACAAGTGAGGAAATAAAGTTAAAAAGGAAGAAAATCATCACAGTGCCACTTGCAGAAGGTAGAGACKGATATTTCAAATGGCACAGAGATTCTGTTCCTCAAAATAAAAGAAGGTGAGACATCTTGGCCAAGGGAGTGTCTAGTTGGGTGAAGTCCTACTGACCCTTTTGACCATGATAAGACTAACTATTGCTGAAAACACAAACTGAACTACTTTATTACCACCACCTGCAACAGGTCCTTTTAAGTCTTCAAGGTCCTTACTTTTCACTAGGGGAAAAACTGTAGGAGCCTGAAGAGGGTCTGAAAAGTACTGATGGACTTGGCATCACCAGATCAGTTCTTTATGGCAACTCAGAACAAGCAAAATTTTAAGCAGCAAATTCCACTCTGACTGCCAGCTCTTATGTGATGGGTTGGATGAAGCTCCTGTTAAAGGTAGTGGGACTAAAGAGTTTCTTYAGCTGATGACCACTTCTGTTCGATGTAAAATCAATGGATTGCAAAGCATATTTAAATTTAAAAAAAAAAACAAAAAAAACCAAAAAAACCCAAAACAACTATATGTTCTTTATTTAGTGCCCATTACCGTTGGCACAGATAACAAGAAGTCAGTCCCCTGAAATGCAGTGATGCACAGGAGATTTGTGTACATACACAGCCTTTTCTCATCTGCCTTCACTGCTGCTGTGTCAGTCCACAGAGACACCTCCACCATTCCTGACGCAACCACTCTGCTCTGTGGGTTATTGTAGTGAGACAAAAACATCCACATTACAGAAGGCATTGCTGGCTCCTATAATTCCATTTTTCCACAGTGCTTCTGCTGAAGAAATTGATGTCAGAYAACTGACTCAGATTTCCCCCAACTCTCCTCAAACACACATTGAGCACTCGACAATGCCCACTTTTCTATTTCCCTCTCCACAGCTCCATTGGAGAGGACCCTCTGTGCATTCAGAACRGCACAATGAAGAATGATTTCCAAAGCATTAACTTGGAGCCATTGAGACTTGGATGTTTTCAAAATGACTCTATTGTGCTCAAAGGATTCTAGASTACCCCAGCTACTCTAGAAGAGAGTCTTTTTCCCCTTTTCTCAAAACATCCATCCCCTGAGCCATCCCTGGAGTGCATTGTTGGGGCCGATTCCTTAGTGCAAGCAAGTTCCATCAGTCAAAGCTCAACAGATACAAATAATATCAGGATATGGATATAAATTAGTGCGACAGAGCCTAAATAGTTTTGACAGGTTTAGTAAGTATAGATAGCGGCACAGAATGCTRTTCCTGCTGTCAGACATCAATATGTAGACAGAAGATTGGGGGCACCATGGAAACTCGGCGACATAAGAGTGGTATTGATTGGGTAGAAAACGAGCCTGCAATTTAAGCTTAAGGCTGCCAGAGATGCCAAGAATGGAGAATGACCTCCAGCAGTGAGTTTTCAGCATAAGCTCCCTGTGAACAAGCCAGTCCAAGAAGGATAAATCAGGGACAGGCTCACCAGGGATGTGGCTCAAACCAGCGCCGGCTACCCCAAGCAGATGAGAATCACTCTATGTGTGCACGCGTTACAGTGACCTAGTTTGTTCAAAGACAGCATTTTGTGTGGTTTATTATGGAGYCCCGAAACAAAGGGATTTCCTCAATTAAAGTCCTGAAATGCATCCTCTGGACGAAAATGCTTTTGATACACTGATCAGCAAGAGGTTGTAAATATCGAGGCAAAGCATACATTGTTAAAGAGCAATTCCCACAGAAAACGCCACAGTTGGGAATGTAGGTAATGAGGGGGCCTGAACAGAGCAGAAGCAATGAGCCATGCCAGCTCCATCCCTAATGCCCCAGCCTTACACTAAAACACTTGTTTTACCACAACACTAGCTAAATTGTATCTTCCTTGACAAAAAACCCCAACCCACACACACACACACAGARAAGAAAAAAAAATTAAGTTAAATAAGTGTATTTTCAGAGATCCTGGAAAGGATTATTTTTAATTGTTGTCAAAGGACTCAGGAACAGCCCTTCCCACAATAATCAAGAAGAAATTGAGGACGTGTCAAGGAAGTATCTTGCCGGAGCCACGACTGCTGGAAGTTTGCTAAGTAATAATATTCACATTCGTGGCAGAAAGATTAATCTACAGAAAACATCCATCAGCACAGCTGTGTCAGGAATAAGATAAGCCTCCAAAGTGTCCCYAGTGTCAGCATGGGCGTAGGACTCAGGCATATGGCACTGGGATAGCAGCACTATGTTTTGTAATACTATAGTAAGACAAACCTTCTGCTGGCAAGGATGTATCAGCCACAGACTGCATCTCAAATAACTGGGGTAGACATCTGGGTAATTGCAAAAAACCCTGGGTTTTTAGGCCACTTCTATACTGCAAAAAAATATTTACCATTTGTAAATGAAAGATTTGTTGACGGCTTCTCTTTTCCCCCAAAGGAGCTGGCTCGTGAGCTTGCTAAAGCCATTGAGTTTCTGTCCTTGAATTTCACCCAAAGCTTCATACAGAAAAAAAATCACTGAATAGTTTAGCTTAGCCTGGAGACAGGAGTATATTAAATCTCCACTTTCCTTCTCTTTAGCAAAAGTTATGCTAAATTATGCAGCAGGATTTTTTTTTTTTTTTTTTGCTGCTTTTTGGGGTCATCTGTGGGAGTTTTGGAGATTTTTTAGTCCAATGAAGTCCCTTCTCCATGCACTTCCAAATTTTCATTCCTATAGCAAATGAACAAATTTTGTCACAAATACACCAGTTCCTTTTCCCCTTCAAACTATTTCTTATGATCAAAAGTTTAGACTTTTTTTTTTGTGTGTTCTTATTCCTTTGCAAGGAGGAAATTGAAAAAAACAAACACACAGAAACGGTAAATTKGTTTTGTAATCCATCAAAAACACTGCTCAGGACAAGTAAAAATCAAGTATTTATCTGTAACAACTTGAAATTTCCTTCTCTCTTTCTCTCTCCATCCCCTTCCCTCCTTCTCCCTAATACAGTCAGTTACACACACAGTCTATTTCTTGTCAAAAAAAGGTGAGCTTTGCTAAAAAAAAAAAAAAAAAAAAAAATCAATGCTCAGAGGGAAAACAAGGAAAGGGCAGAGAACCCGCGAGTTGATGAGCCACAGGTAAAGCATTCCTCTACCCTAATACAAGTCATTTAAAGCAAAAATTTAAAACACCACTGTCCATAATTGCAGGGTTATCTCACAGAGAAAGACTGAACTCATACCACAAACACTTCCCCAGTGCTCCCAAGAACCAAGCAGTCTCTCGGGTGCACATCCTGGGAGCCAGCTTCCCAGGGTGTCACTACATTAAAGCCCAACATGCATTCACCACCAAGGCAAAGACACTGGCAGTGTGGCACAGAATGGCCACAGGAAGAAGTAAAAGGAGCAGATAATAACTTTTCCCCTATGAAAAGTTGCACTTTCAAAAATGAGCGAAGAAAGGAGGGTAAGGAGTTATAAGCACCAAGGCTGGAGACCGTGATGCGTTTGCAGAACAACATATACGTTCAACAAAGAGGAAACTATGTTCTCACCATTGCTAACTCAGATTTTCTCCCAGCCTATCCCTCCTGAGGAAGAAGACACAAACGACTGCAGTTTTAAATAAATCTATCAGCACTTGCTAGATTGACTTGTTTCGCCAGAAGTAAACTAAGGATAAGAAGGCGAAGTCCTAAGAAAAATGTAAGCCGAATCGTTGTGTCTGAAGGTACAATTTAAACTCCTGAGCCTCAGCCGGGACACGGTAACTGGGAGAGCTCCTGGCACACGGTAACCGGGACTCGCAGGGGTCACTTCGCTGCCTTTCTGTCCTCTCGAAACGGAGCTGCCCGAGTACTCCTGCCTCYCCTTCCCTGCTGGGTCACCTCACCCACCGCCAGCCCTGTCCCCTTCACCGTGSACCGGCATTTAAACGCTCCGAGGGACCGGAGCGCCGCGGCAGCGCTCCCCTCCCGGCACAGCGCTCCTGCCCCGGGTCTCCAGCCCTCACCCCCGCCTGCCCCTCGCTCAGGTGTCCCGGGGRCTCAGGTGTCCCTCTGTCCGGCCACCCTCCTGCCGGGACAAGTGTCCCGGAGCCACGGCAATGGAATAGGAGAAGCGCTTCCCACCCTGCCCCGGGGAACAAGCGCTGCAAGCACCACATCCCTCAGGGAGAGCCTGCTGGGGGTGCCACCCCTCGGACAGACCCCGGCAGTCCCCGCCGCTGCCTCGGACTTACTTGGGACTGCAAAAAGCTCCTCTCCCGCAGCTGAAAGGGGCGTCCCCGGTAAGCAGCGGCCGCTTACTGCCGCCGCGCAGTCCCCGCGTTCCCCACGGACGGGCTCGCCGGCCGCCACCTCACGCCCCGGCTCTGTCTCTCTCCCGCCGCAGCTTTCTCGCCGAGATTTTTATACTGCAGGCAGGGGAACCTGATCCGCGCTCTGACTCGGCGGAGCCCGGGTCTGCGGCGAGGCGGCGAGAGGAGGGAAGGCAGGCGGGCGGCGGGGCAGAGCGAGCGGCCGCGCTGCGCCCTCGTGTGAGGCGGAGGGGGCGCGCCCGCCGGGCGGGTCAGCAGCGGGGCAGCCTCGCCCCCGCCGCGGGGCTGGGCGGAGCTGGGGGCGGGACGGACTCTCTCCGCTCCCTTCTGCTTCGTTCTGCCTTGTTCTGCCTTGTTTCGCTCCTTTCTGCAYCGTTCTGCTCCGTTCTGCACCGCGGCTCCCCGGAGAGGAGCGCACCGTGTTTGCTCGCCCAGGCAGCTTGCACTCCTGCCCATCGCCTGAGGGCAGGGAGAGGCACCTCGCCCCCASCCCGGCCGCCTTCGCAGGTACAAAYGYCCAGCGCAGCTTTTGCTGTCAGAGTTTGGAGAGCTCTAACTTGGCTGGCTTTCCAGCTTGTTTGTTTTGACCGCGGTAGATTGGAAATACTGCTGGGGAGTGGGAAACTCGAAAACAAAACTAATAAAAACTGCAAAACCCAAAGCCGACCCCTTTTCCCCACCCCACCCCCCCCAAACACCCCAGCTTTTTATTTCACCTTGGCCTAAAACAGCTATTAGAACAACTTTTGCCATGGCGTTTCAACACTTCAGGTCATAATGGTTGCTGGAGCTGTATCAAGGCTTTCATTTAGAAGCAGGCTTTTCCAACTTTTAGGTTCATTACATCCACTGAATAAGAGTGTTCCCCAACCCACAGCTTAATTTAAAACTAGGTGGACTTGTTCCAAACTCCAGGCAATTTCTGTGTAATTCCCTCTCCCCAGAGCCAGCCTCTGCCTTCACTTGAAAGACTGGGCCCATTCACTGCTTRGGTCTCAGCTGGGTTTGCAGCTCGCAGCTCCTGCTCCAGCTTTGCACAGAAATCCAGTTCAGATTCCCCTCCTRTTTCCAGAGGAATGAGCTAAAAAAGTAATTTGTCTGGCACCGTACACATTGCATCATCTAACACCTACCATCTGTGACAATGAAAAGCACTGTGCAGCCAGTCCCAGYGCGGGCAATTGCACTCACCTGGAGTCCTTCTCAGTAAAGTAAACTAACCCTTTCCATCCACACCTTGGCATCTTCTTTTCATCACACAGTTATGTGTTCAGTCCTGGCATGGCTCTTCGGGATTTGCACCACCGGCAGGTTTAATGGCGCTGATGTCATTTAAAACAACAATTTTGATTTGCAGCGTAAAAGCGATGGCTTGAGATGGAGGGAATATCCTTTCTAGCAGCTGGATGAGTGGAAAGGAGCGCTCAATATTCSTGTTTCAGAGCATGCAAGGCTGAATGAACGCTTGAGAGCCAGCTTGCAACTTCCTGAGGGCTTCTCGGTGAAATCCTGGCGGCATGGAGCTAAGCACGGCACGAATCTAGAGAAAGAAACTTTCCATCAAAAAACACCTGGTAGTGGTTGACACTTTTCAGACCCAAGAAATTCTCCATGTAACCACTATAGCACATTTCAGGTGATCAATCCTGGCTGAGTAACAAAGTAGGAAAGGAGAACAATGGCTGTAAGTTCACCTTGATTGAAACCAAAACAGATTGCATCAAAATGGGTCAAGAGATTTCTTACTTTCCTTACAGAAATCTGAGTCTTAGCCGAAACACTACAAGYTTAGCATTTTCATAAAACAGTGTAAACTTTCTGCAGAAAGCAACTGCTTTTCACAGAGTTGATGTTAGAAGCCTCATTTTGCCACTAAATTTTGAAAGCAATGTCAGCCAATAATCTTTGACCAAATTTGCTCCCAGATTTTTTCCACACCGTAGCTCAGACATTATTTTCATGAAGTTCAGTTTATGTGCACAGTATGATATTTGACTCAGAATCTCCAAAATAAAACTGCAAACAAGATTAGCAGAGCTTCTCAGGGGACAGATCATTGTTCATAGCACCTATGGCTGGAAAAGGGAGTATCTCCGTTTTTGACTGCCAAAAACTAAATGTGTTTTAATGGTCATATTATTTGTTTCAATGGCACCTTGAGGCTTAACTGAGGTTTCCATTGCAATAAKCACTGTACAAATGCAGAAAAAAATATTCTTTACCCCAAATTTCTCGCTGTGTTGGATACCCTTTGTGTTAATGGAGTGTAACACTTGAATTTCTTGACTGAACTTTTGGTATGAGATAGAACTCAGAAAGCCACAGAAGAAGATGAGATACAGCAGTCTTGAAAGGACCAATGTAACTTCTTTTGCCAAGAAAAAGGTCACAGCTATATGCTAATTACAGGTTCCCAGTGGGAAAGGGCATGGAAAAAAGGGATAGATGGAAGTTAAGCTATGACCATCTACTTTCACAGGGATATTTTCCTTATTATAAGAACAGTAAGATTGGAGAAGCTTAACTGTCTCTCCTGACTTTTTTTTCTCAGCCAATGATACATTTRCTACATGATCTCTGGAACTACAGACTAATCAACATTTCTTGTGACATACAGTAAAATTACTGCTGAAAAAAAAATGCTTTATGACCATTATTTTTCTACTCTGAATGCAAAGATAAGCTAGAAAGGAGAATTTGTGCACAKATTTTCAGGGATATTTACCTTTAGAATCCTCAACATTTGTTTACAGCTGCTGGTTCCACTCTGATCAAAAAACAGTGGTGAGGAACAGACTGGCAGCTCTAGAGGTTCAATTTCTGTTTTGATGCACTCTCTGTTTCTTGAAGCAAAAATGCACAGCCTAATGGTTGAGACAGGGCTGAACTGTCTCTGAGAGAGGAAAAGTGAAGGTTAGGGCCATCACAAGCTGTGAAGAACTTCTGATGCCACATGCAAGTGCTCTCAGAAACAATCCAAAACCATCATATCCTGATTGAAATCCCGATTCAATCAGTAAAAGTTTATAACAATATAGGGGAAAGACACTTGCAGCTTTAGATACAGTTTTTGTCAGAATGCAGAAAGAAGCCCATAGTAAGTTCTCTTTAACTAAGTGTTTTTTTCCCTTTGGAAAAACATAAACACCAAGTTTTCTCTTTGAAGCTGTTTTTTTTTTTTTTTTTTTTTTTTTTTTTTTTTTTGTTACCTTTAGGTAATCATTTCACAATCCACCTGAAGGAGATAGCTGGTGCTTCTAACAGTAGTTTGTGCTTTTTTTTTCCAAAGGTGGCCTTAGAAAATTCTGACTCTAAAGTTCAGAGAGCAAGTCGGAGGATAAGGCTTTATGCAATTTCCTCTCAAGAARAGCTTCCCTGTTTTCGGTGCCACTGGTGAGTGGGTTAGAAGGTCAGCTGGAGCTGAGCTTGCCTTGTTTGTCTCAGCTCAGCTGTAAATATCAATTTCTTTCCCTGCCCTCCCCAGCCATCAGCACCAGCAGCTCCAGGAAAACGTAATGTGATTCCAGGAAAGCACAGAAAAGAACTCCACAACACTTTAAAGGCTTTTTCACCTTTTGCTCCATTGTTGTTCCCGAGCTATTGAGCCTGCCAAGCCCTGGCAACTGAGTGCCCTGCATCCCCACACCAAGATCAGATTTCCATTAGTGATACTGAATTATTTAGTGGATGCATTGAAGATTGAGATCAACTACTTCTGAGCTGTGTTTCCTCTCACTCTATCTTTCATTTCAAGCCCGCACAATATCATCACAGAGGCTATCAATCTCAAAATTAGGGTAGAAAAAARTCCATGGAGTTCAGAAGTAATAATTCAAAGCTTGCTCTCTAGTATTAAAGTAATCCAGCATGTAAAAAATCCGATTTCCCAGATGCACGTGGAAGTCGAAAGRGAGAGAATGAACCCAGAGGAGTTATTCTTTCATGCACATATGCTAAAAACTTAAGATGTTTGAAAACAAAGTCAGTGGCCCAGAACTTGATCTTAAGCTTCAGCCACCAAACCATGAATACATGTTATAACTTTMCACATTTGACTGACTCTATTTTCTACAAGGGGATTAAAGCTCTTCTGCTSAAAATTATTCATGTGCATACATCTGCATGTTGCGGTTTGAAATCCACAAATATAATGCGACACAGCAGGCCTCTCCASCTCCCCACCATTTAAAAGGCTGCTCCTCGTATGTTGGCTTCTCTCACCACTTTCTTCTTTTGTTTGTGCTGGCAATCCTGGGAATGGAAGTTCTGCATATCCAGGATTTTGAGGTCTGCTACACAAAAAATAAAATAGTTTAGTTAAGATGAAAAAAAAAATTGCTTTGAGTACATGATCACTTTTTTCCTCACTTCAACAATTGTGTTCATTTCTCTCTAGTTTTGCAGTTTAGGAAGAAGTTCAAACCAAAAGAAAATGGCATTTTGTTATGAAGGGCTAAGCAGCAGCTACCATTTCTCTTCTGTTTTCTGGGGCTTTGTCACTATGCATTGTAAAAATCAAAGCAAAATCCAGAAACAAAAAGTTTTTTCCTTTCAAAAAGAACAAATAAAATTGACATTTGTAATTGATTTCAAACTTATGGCAGAAAATTACTGTACTATTAGAATGCAAATTTCCCTTTCAATTCCTCACAGGAAGAACATGATTTGCTAATACCTATTTTTTCACAAGTCACTATAACCCTGTGCATAACTATTCTATGAAAGGACTAGAAGTAAAGAAGGTAGCATTTATAATCCCAACCAATCAGTCCTGGATGCTTCATTAAGACAATCAGCTAGTATCAGACATGGTACTAAATAGTTTTCCCCTAGGCACTGGRTTGAAATGGTCAATTTTCCTCTCTGGCAAGCCAGCAATAACAAATTACAGGCTCTAACTACATAGCAGGCAAATGATTCGAAAATTAGAAGCATTCTGATCCTTTCCCTATGAGCTGGCTCATAGCACACAACATTTTCCAGTTAAAAGTGAAACTAGAGTAAGCACATTTTGAAATAATCACTAACTTTCWAATCAATTATGCCTGTATAATCAAAGAAATATTGCTTGATATACTCCTTTTAGGATGAACTGGTAGTGTTTTGGGGAGCAAGCATTACAACTTCCTTTGCATCCACAATATGATGCAGCCAGATTCAACTCTGAGCTGAATGTGTGAACAAAGAAATTCCACTTATCAAAACATCCTCTTACCTTCTGAT